AGCACTAGCTCATGCTGTTTTGCATGGTGAGCCTGTTTTTCCCGAAAACGTTGTCAAGGAAGGTGTTCAGCAGTCTTTCCCTGATGCACGTGCAGATCCGAGCGAACCCGGATCCCCAATACACATCGAATCTCAAGAAACCGAACTCCAATTTCCGGATGCTGGTTCACTACCCCCTGTTCCAGAAGATGATGAGTTAGATGTAGGGATCAGACCGGACTTCTTTGATGAAGACCAATCCGAAAGTGAAGATGCGCTTGAAGAGTTGAGTAGGTCCGCTAGCTCCGTTTCACGTCCGTTCCCTGACACAGGAAATGAGCATAGCCGCAATGTGAGGCCCCGTGTCGCCGAACCGGAGAGTGAACGCGGTACCTCATTGCAACCATCCCGCAGGGAATCCACGAGCGCTCCACATGCATGGCCTAATGTGTATGATCATTTGAACGACTTGCCAGCTTCTCTACGAGAACATTTTGAGAGAGCACGCCAGAGAGACAGAGAGCTACCAGAGCAAGATCGAGAAGACGCACATGCCATGTGGACTAGTTTTCTTGCCCAGACTGAGGATGAAGCAGAGCTAGGTAAGAAGGTTCTAAAGAGCATTCACTATGAGTCTGCGCCTCCAGAAGTGCAGAAAGCCCTGCAGGAAACAAGGCAAAAGGAATGGTCCAAATTTGAAGATTTCGGAGCAGTAGTGGCATTGAGCCCAGAACAAGCGCAAGAGCTCATTGACGAAGGGCACCAATGCATTCCATCCAAATGGGTGGATGTAGACAAAGCAGAGTACAAGAAGGGGAGAGATCCTGACTACAAGCCCATGTATAAAAGCAGACTAGTTTCGTGCGGGAACTTCGAAATGACAGAGGGTTTGAGGTCAGATAGTCCAACAGCTGATGTAGAGATGCATTGCCTCGTCTGCAGCTGGGCAGCGTGCCACCAGGCCGACATTCATTCCGCTGATATTACCTCGGCATATTTCCAAGGACGACCGCTGGACCGAGTCCTTCTCACGCGTCAGCCGAGAGGAGGTTTGCCAGGTGTAGAACCCAATGTCCTTTTTCTCGTGAGGGTCCCTGTATACGGGATCACGGACTCAGGAAGAGGCTTTTGGTTGCGTTTGGATGCCGATGCACGTAAGAGCGGCCTGAAGGCAAGCCAGTTTTTCCCAGGATTGTACTACCTCCCAGGTGAGCAGGGAGGAGATGCTTGTGCCCTCATGTGCACTCACGTGGACGACTTGCTTTATAGTTTTCTTCCGGAAGGCGAGGAAGTGATGAAGTCTTTTCTTGCCAAGTTCAGTGTCGGCAGCTCAGACACTAACAGCTTTCGATATTGTGGGAAGCAGTTCGTGCGAGGAGATGACAAGGTCATCAAAGTCGACGCAGCAGATAACACTAGGAAGATTCATGGAGCAGATGTTGGGTCTAGGCTAAGCAGTGAACGTCTCCAGCAAGGAGACATCACGAAGCTCAGATCGATCACCGGATCGCTCGCCTGGATCTCGAGACAGACCAGGCCTGACCTTGGTTACAGGGTAAGCCGTTTGCAGTCTAGCATTAAAGATGCAACTGTGTCCACGTTGGCAGACGCTAACGCAGTCGTTGTCCTGGCACACAAAGGTCACGATGTGGCATTGTGTTTTCCTGCGGCTCATCTCCAATGGAGTGAAGTTGGTGTGATCACGGTCACAGATGCCTCCTTCTCCAACGAGAAGAACTACAAGTCGCAACAGGGCATTTTCTGGGTGATCTCAAGGAGATCAAAGATGACAAGACGACCACTTATAAGGTGATGCCATTGTCTTTTGGATCCACGACAATTAAGAGAGTCTGCCGCAGCACTCTCCAGGCCGAAACGTATTCCCTCCAGAACGGACTCGAGACAGGTGACAAGCTGAGAGGTGTGATTGCGGAGATCAAGGGCAAGATTCGCAGTTTGAAGACATGGGAAGATGATGCCCGTGAATGCATTCCGCATTTGGCGATGACTGATTGCCGTTCGCTTTCTGACCACCTCAATCAGGAAGTCCTGGCCAAGGTGAGTGACAAGCGCCTTGGTATCGAGTTGCAAGGAATCCACGAGAATTTGTGGCAAGAAGGAAGACCAACATGGATTGCTTTCGAGAATGGAGGAGACAAGTTGATCTGGATTGCCACCAGTACGATGGTGTCGGACTGTCTGACGAAGTCCATGAAGCCAGATCTGCTACTTCGAGTGCTGAAAGAGTGCCACTACACTGTACAGAAGCAGAAGTAGATTTCTCCAATGCCTTAGGAAGACACAAGAGTTTCAATGTATAGCCGTGTGACACCTGTAGAACAGGTTGAGTGTGAATTTGAGGTAGGATCTGATTCTGTTGAGCCAGGTTGTCACACTATGTTGTGTCTGCCGCCGTTTGGCTCCTAGGGCCCTTGAGCTATACCGTGCTCGCTTTCGCAGTGAAAAGAGCGTGTGGACAGTACGATTCCGGTTGCTACCGACACTATTTTAAGCAGAAGGCAGCCTAGCAAAAAGCCTATGAGCTATTGGACAATATACTAAGGCGCGCACGCGAACAACGATAAACCCATCTCAAGTGGGAACCACTCTGTACACATCACATACCGTCGTGCACTATCAGTCAGGAATTCAGGCAAAATGGCGGGAGCCTCTTATTTATAGTTTATATACATCTCCAATTTTGTCGTTTTCACTTGGACCGCCATTGAAGCAACGCAAACACGATACCTTTGAACGATGTGTGTAGAGTAGCCGACGCCCACTTAGAGCATCGTTTAGAAGTTTAGAAAGACTTAGGGCAGCCATGTTCTAAGCGTAGCGTAACAATGCGCTGCTCTGAGTCATGAGTTGGAACCATGAGCAACATGTTCCTTTCTTAGAGCATCCTCAAACATGATGAGACCATGAGAGAATGCGGAGTTGATTGTAGCTACAAAAGGGGTATTATAGACTACAAACTACCGGACTTTCATAATAGATCAAGTGCAGGCTGTGCCATATACGCACCATCCGGAAGAGACCTGAAAAAGAGTTGCGAAATGCCATGTTTGTTAAAAGGCTTCCAAGCAATCTTAAAAGTGGTGTTCTAAGTGATGTTTTGAGTGGTAATTGTTTAAGACGTGGGATTGAGCATGTTCCAAGACAAGGACTAAAAACATGGCAATGTTCTACAGTAAGCCTTGGATGTTCTAAAAAACTATATATATATATATAACTCGATTGTTTTTTTGGCAAACTTGTTGTTCTTATTGGTTTCCGTCACTACAGACATGCTGCGATAAGGAGGTGATGATAGGGGAGGTCGCCTGTTGTCTTTATGGAATTGAATCTAGATCGGAAGTGTTGGATGCTGCAGGGTATGACCACATGTTTGACGTTGCCCAGGCCATGAACCGCATCCGCCAAGAAATCCCCAGCGGTGCCAAAATGCAAAACTACTCCGTGGTGAATTGGTATGCGTATTCCGGCGGATATCCTTCGTGGGGTTCCGAGAACGGGGTCAGTGTGGACTACTCGACCATGCCGCCGGTGGGTGCCATTCATGACGCTCATTCCATGGATAGTTATGCCTTTTGCGAGATGGCCAACGCGATCCTGAGCCAAACGAATTCGCAATTCTTCAACTCTTGTGGGCCGACCGCGGTTTTGGCAGCTCTCACCGCACGCTCGCCGGTGCAGGCCTTCAAAAAGGCCTAGAGAGCAAAAGTTGTACAATGTCAATGTCGTGTTTTGTCTTCAGGTGTTCCTTGATGTTCCCTGGCATGCATCCATCACCCAACCAATTTCAGGATGTTTGCTTTTGATGACTTGAAGACATCTCAAACATTCTCAAACCAAACCTGGTCTAGGCGCTGCAGCTTTACTACACGGGTGCCTTGCCTGGTATGTCAGAAGCGTGCCCTTATGTCTATGAGCAGCAGCCAGGTCTCGTGCCTTTCCGTCCGGATCAGCCGGGTGGAGACAGATATCATGGGAATCTCTGGTGTCCAGTTGAAGATGTGCAGTCCAAACAGTTTTTGATTGATGGACAATGCCAGGCAGTGGGCCTCCAACGCATGTGGGTGACAGCGATGATTGGTTCCCTTGAACATGAAGTTCAGCTGGCAGCCAATGGAGATGATCAATGTGAGAAGATCCTTACCAGTGTCTATCCCGGCGAAGTGATGACCTTGTTTGACGATGGCGACCTGATCTTCAGAACTCCGCCCTCTCACATTGTTTGGATTTGCGAGAAAGTAGGACGATCGAACTGTTCTTATGCTACAACCTTTGTAGGCGATTGCTCCAAGATCTTTCCAGAAAGTGCTTGTACTGTGTTGTTGGACACCAAGTGGTCAGCCAAGGATTTGCTGATCGTCCAAAACACCCTTCAAACTCCAGGACAGCCCCTTGATGCCATGTATTCCCTGGCATCCAAGCCGACCTTTCAGCCAATTCTGTCTGCTGCACCTGGAGACACCACGTTCGACAAATTCCAGGCAATTGCGCGCATGTTTTTAATGGTCATGTCAGTGTCCCACCAGGACCCTCAAGCCACGGCCAACATGTGGGTCAAACTTTGCACGGCCAAAGCCGCAATGTTAAACATCGCGTTTGCCGGACTGCGCAACGAGAGTTCGAGCTCATGTTCTCATTGGGTGTTCCTGGATGCCTGCCGCGACACGCACTATGTGGTTTGGTCCGAAGGCTTTCGTAGATATATCACGAAGGAGGCGATGCACGGGTCCACTTGCGGAGGCGTCGTTTACTCGTGAATTCAAGGGACTGCGCTGTTGCGGTAGAGGAAGACGCGGCCGCTCAAACTCCGCCGGCTTTTTGAACACCGGAAGAAAACAGAGTCCAGAGCCAAGGGGAATCAGCCAGGGACATTACGTCTCACGTCCAATGTTGCTCTGAAGTCCGCCCAAATTTATATATATATATAGTTGTGATTTGCAAGGTGAGGTTTTCCATGCTTTTTCCATGATCATCATGACCGGACCATCGCCAAAGCCTCGCAGGCGGTCTTTGAAAACATCTGCTGGAGTCGGCCGGCTGCCGGAAGTCCTCCATCGACGCAGCGACGGGGAGGACGGAGCCGGGCGGAGCAGCGGGTCGGCTAAGGTCAAGCAATTGCGGCCTGGAGGAAGATCGTGAGAAATCATGACTAGAGAAGAATAGCAATTAAATATGTAATATGATGTAATTTGTAGCAATGGCCTCCAACCTAGGGGCAATGGCCTCCAACCTAATAGAGAATTTAACAATCATGCCAGCTTATGCCAGTTATGTCGTGCAGGGTGTCGTGCATGTCTTTGCCACTGCAGTGGATGCTGTCCACAGCTTGGACCTGAGGGGTTCGCCGTTCCGGACGTGTTGACCTGACACTCGTTCCGGACGTGTTGAACCATGGCCTGAAGGATCCAGCATTGCTGATAACCCTTGTTTTATCTGGTTTTCCCAGTTCCAATCGTAAGGATTCTGCAATCTTCAAAAAGAACTCTTTCAATTGCCGACTTTGTAGGGCCTTTTTTTGCTTAGCGGGTGGCTCGTAGTCCCGTTTTTTTTTGTCTGTTATATTTGAATATATTTGATATTTTTTAGATATTTTTAGAATGTTCTCGATGATATTTGATGGGTTCACTGGCGTCGTTTGTTCTCGCCTGTTGAGGTGAACGGCAACCTGTTTCTCTTGTAGATCAGGCCCATCCGACGCCATCCGACGGCCGCTTGTGCGACAGCGTCCAAGATGTGGTTAATTGCGGACAACGGGCGTGGGCTCCGTGGGCTCTGCAGGGTTCGACCGTCGTTTCTGTCCAAACTTTGATGTTTCCATCCATGGCTCGATGTGGAGATCTTTTTCAGCTTGAAAACCGCAGCTGCTCTGGTACAGACGCAGCGCACGCGTGGGACGTTGCATTTCATCCCGCGCAGCTTCCAACAACGCCGCTTGAGTTTCATATTGTTCTGGGTCAAGTCAAGTCCAATGGCTTCTGTGAATACGAGATGTTGTAGTAGAAACGTGTGGAACCTAAATCATTGATAGAGATTGCAGTTCTACCCCAATTAGCGTGTTTACTTGATCCCATAGCTAGATGCTTCATACATTAGCAATTGCGATGAGTCATATTATATTGCATACTATAGTTGCTAGTAGCCTCCACTTTGTTTTTGTTCTGGGAATGCCACTGAGCAGAATCCTCCCGGGAAAGTGCAGCTTCTTCAACACCCCACAGGTGGTCGGTTGAATTCTTGACTTTCTGGGTTGTTTTGAATGCCCTTGCTGCACAGTTGAGGTAGAGGCGATGCAGTTGGGAGCCAAGCATGTTTGGTTGGACAGTTCAATTGCGTTAAAGAGAGGGGCAGAAAACGCTAAGAGTCTGAAACTTAGAGAAAGGAAGGGAGGGCCAGTATCTGGGAGGGGCGCTCCACCAATGCCATGTCAGGATGTAGTCGCACCGTGTAGAACCAACGGCATTGAGCGATCACTGTTGTCTCCTCTGAGGCTCAAAATCTGCTTGCCACTCCTTCTCATCTTGGGTGCCGGAGCCGGCCATGACCAGGATGGGGATGCTATGGGGAGCGGGTCTTGTGCCAGTTCGTGTAAGATCGTGTAAGTGAGGTTCATTGATGACCCTGAAAACGAACGAAGTCTTCGGAGGCTTTCCATGAGTTGTTTGCCGTTCGATGAGGGGATTCGATTGCCGTTCAGTACTGGGTCTCGACGTACAGATCTCTGGCTAATTTCGGGACCATTGAGTCAATCGCATTCGGCCTTCCCCATGGCGGAGGCTACTTTGACTGATGTTCATGGGAAGATTGGCCACAAGAAGAAGCACCACAGGCACCTTTGGCTATATATTTATGATGGCAGAGTCAAGTTAAGTTGTTCGAGTTGGCTCCTGAAAATATTTGCAGAGCTGCCAAAGGCCGCAAGAGGCGCAGATTTTGCACCACACTCATAGCATTAAGGCCAAAAGGTGCGTGTTCAATCTTAGTCCAGTTTGATTCGACGTTTCTGTCGAATTCATGAGAAAAGATACCGATTTCTCGGGGCGACGAACGCGGACAGCTGAGGCATGCATCCCATGCGCACAAGAGCTTTGGCATTTCAGGGGTGGTCATCTTTTGCCGACTCCACGCCGTGTGAAGGAAGAACATATCATGCACACCTTGCAGACTTGCAATCATGCAAGTGACAAGGAAGCTCCCCATCAGCGCGGTGGGCATTGCATCCACAGTGAACAAGGCCTGGCATTCAGCGGTGCAAAGACATCGGGTTGAATGTCATGTTGGTCCTGTACACATGAACCAAAACTCTCCTTGCAGTTCATCCAGTCATACGGACATACACAGACACCTTACCCACACAAATTCGGCTCCGCTTTGAGTTGCCCTTCGCTGGTCATCGAGGCTAGCCCGTTGAAGGAGCTTCATGAGGTGATTCAGGCGTGGCGGCTGCGGCGGCATCAGCGGCACACTTTCCATTTGTTTCATACGGGGCGTTTGCGTGTGGGGGTACTGGCGTAGGTCACTTCACCGATTAAACATATGTCGCCTGAAATTCAGCTCACCGGTGAAAATGCAAACATCAGCAAATGTTTGAGCAGCTATGGCATTGGAGGACTGTTTGGTTGAACAAGTGAATGTCCCAGTTGTTTGAAGCCTCATCTGGCTCAAGACACTGGGAAACTCGAGACGGCACCTGCTTAAAACATCTTAAAACCATGGGCTGTGGGGCCAGCGCTGAAGCTCGCATTCACCAAAAGACAGCCTCGAGAAGAACCCACAACGGCGCATCGAAGGTGGGGAGAGTGCCTTGGAGTAGGACAGAGTACGGACACAGAGTTCTTAGACCAATTGTATCTAGACTTATATACAGGATCTTGAACGCGCACAAAAGATGACAAAAGATACTCCTTCAGTTTTGAACCAATTCTCCGATCTTTATCCTACTTGGGCAACGCTTATATAATGTTATTTACAACGCTGCAAAACCGAAAACCCATGTGACATGACGAGGTTTTAGCCCATGCATGCATGACATGAGCGCATGAACGTATCGTTTCTTCAGGTCCAAGTTTTGGTTGATATGAACTTTGATGACATCCGTCAGTGCCTGGCCGACGACTCCGACGACTCCGAGTCGACTTGGACGAGTCCTGCGTGGCCTCGGAAGTCGGAATCGGCGCCTCCTGTGCTGATGAAGATGGCTCTTGAGAAGCTGTCCCCCAGGTCATGGACCTATGATGATCCGCACGTACCTGAAGGGATGGAGATAGCAGCTGCCCCAAATCGCATGATGCACGAGGAGCATGTGCAGAAAGTCAATCTCTTCCTGCAAGAATTGGAAGAGAACCCCGACAGTTTGTCTGAAGCAGTCGGGATTCGGCGAAGGGTGGATGAATATCGCCTACGAATCATGTCGGGCGAAGATGTCCTGCCTTTCTCTACCAAGCCCGGTTCTGTCGGTCCAGGTGCGGCATGATCATCGACAGAATCCCTTCGTTCCTGGAGCGGGGCCACCGAGTCAAAAGGGATGTTTAAACCCGCTCGGCAAAGGCTCGGCTCCGCCGTGGATCGCTGGTGGTGTTCAGTTGGATCGCAGTTTTTAACCTTTGGGTATGATGAAACCCAGGGTGACGCGACCACTGCATGACTTCATTGGGGTAGCGAGCTAGCGGATCTAAAGCTGCTAGCTTGATCTAGCTTGACTAGAGATACGTCACATCGTCTTACATCCAACCTTTGGGTCGATAAACCCAAGATTGGAGCCTTTTCCGCCCAGGTCATCCAGAGAGCTTTTTGTTTGGTTTGGATTCTTCCCTCGTGCGATGCCCAACCCCAACAAACCTCATGCGATGCTTTCCACTTCAGGGACAAACCGACCAACCATAAGGTACCAACACTCCGCCGCGCAGTTTCATGAACATGGGATTTGAATCACATTGTGTTACATGACCAGGACCAACAAAAAATACAAGCCCATCTCAGAAACTGCAGACATGTTTGGTGCTTTGATCAAGTGTACTAGGAACTTGTACAGTTTACTTGGAACGAGTTGGCCAAACTTTGTTGGCCAAACGTTTGGGTCGTCTTTGTCCTGAGCACCTCTCGGATCGAAGAGCGCTCGAAGCTCGAAGACTACCGTCCATCGGCGCGTCAGAAGCAGCGCCAAAAGCAGCTGCGCACCGCACCGCCATGGCACATTGCGGTGTAATGAATGGCTGAGAGAATTGAATGAAGAATATTGATAACGTTACAAAATGACAACGTTTACACATTCCTCCCACCTCTTGTTCGATCCGGATCCCGCTTCCATCCCAGGCTCCAGAGAAGGATCCAGTGGCTTTGAGCCGAGTAGAAGATCTCGAGGAGGTCCAGGTGCCAAAATATGTCCTTTAGGTCCTTGAACACGTGCTGACAAGCTGTTTACGCCAGTTTATGCAGTGATTACAGCTGGGCCCAGCTTAGCCCGTGCCAAACAGTCATTTTGTAGTACTGTGCTGTACCTTGGGACACTGCATTTTGATGCTTTTTGCAGAAGATGAGGTTGGGGTAGGTCGGGAAATTGTTCTGTGGTATTGTCCCACGGCACCTACAGTGTTGATGTTTGTTTTTGACGATTGCGGAGCAAAGACATGTGTTTTCTGGCAGGAACTGCCCGAGGCTGTAGTTTGGATGCATCCAAACTTGTGCATGTCAATGTTCGGAGAAGACTTGAACAGACAACTCGATTTCCATGAAAGGAATTCTTTTGCAACTCTCTTGAACTTGAACTGACGGCAGCATGGTTTACCTGGGAACGGACAGATGAGGTCGAAACAAAGACGGCAGAATCCAAGAAGACCAAGCCTGCCAAGGCCAACAGGGACAGGTATAGCTTAAATGTCCCTGGTCATCAGAGGGGGATTTGGGGAAGTCATGGGAGAAGGACATGGACTAATTGAGACAGACCTTCCAGTGAATTGAGGTGTTTGCTATGTCATGCTATGTCGATCAATGTGTTTTTTCATAGTGTTTGATTTGTAGTTCCTTTTTTTTTTGGGGGGGGCTGTGTGAAGCATCTGAATCGATGAACATGGCTTTCTCAAAGAAGCATGTCTCAAATCAGTGGCGACCCCCTGGCAAAACCTAGGCAGTCTAGGCTTGTGGCTTTTGTCCCTCTGCTGAGTGTCTTCAGAAGACGACTGGTCATGTCAGGCCAAGGCTCCCCTGAAGGCCCAGGTGTGCAGGGAGGGTAGCGCCAAGCACATAAGAATAATGCCACTTAGTGCAATGCCAGCGCCGGTAAATCGTGAACTGACCCGCGCGTGTCTCACAGTACCGGCGAGTGTGACCAATGTAAACTGTAAACTTGTATGTTGCAAGAAAAGAGTGTAGGGATGGGTAGGGATGGGTAGGGATTCGTGCGCTGGCCGATAGGGACCACGATTCTTGCTGATTCGCAGGTTGATCCCTCCATGCCCTTTACTGAGCTGGAGCCCTTCGGTCGAGAGGTGGGGCCCATGCTCGATCCCCAAACACAGAACGACGGTCACAGATGTCAAGGAATTCAAGGATATACAATAGTCCACTGATTCACATCAAAAAGATCAAAACGCATGAGTCTTCGTTTCACCTTCTTCTTTTTTATCTCCATTTTCGAGAGCTCTGCGAGGCGACAGGCCAAGAACTGACAGAGGCTTCCATCAGGTGCCTGATCCGATCCGTCCTGAAACAGATCCATCCAGCTGGGCCAGCACACCCGAAAAGGGTGAAGTTGATGGCAAACATAAATGATAGCGATGGCCTCCACCTAGTAGCTTCTTGCTCCTAGTAGTAAGGCCAGGAGCTACTAGTAGCGTCCTTGCTCCGTTGGTTAGCGATGCCCTTTGCTACTAGATGCTACTAGTAATACATGATATGATAGCAAGTCATCCTCAAAGAAAGTCTGAGTCTGACTTAGCCTCACAAACCGCCGCCAATTCCACTGAAGCTTTTGTTTTTGTACCAGGCTGTAGCTAGGTGACGATTGTTTATGCCATCCTTCAGGCTCTCGAAACTTTAATGTAGAGTGGGGATCGCCACTCTTTCGACAAGTGGCAGAATTCCGTGGCAGGGAAAGTGACGCGATGATCGATCAGATTGAAAAGGCCGAGATTGCAGAGGAGGAGCGTCCGAGGCTCAGACTGAAAGGCTCAGTTTACCAATGACTGAGAGAAGGCGATGTTGCATCAGACACATGCGACTCAGTTATGTGACTGTTCGATGTTACAGATCTCTCCTTATCTGTGCGAGACATAACCAGAAGCAGATTGATTGGTTGGGAAGATTGGTTGGCTGCAAGTGAACTTCCTCTACCATGCTCTCCACCCAGATATCTCCATCATTCCTTTGGAATCGATGGCCTTGGCCGCGGCCAAGAATCCCACCAAAAGGCCGCCCTCAGAGGCCTCAAATGAAGGGAACAGATCGATTTCATCCGGTACTTGGGGAGCAAAAAGCCAAGCATTAAAAACCCAGAAGAAGAGATGAGAGATGTACACTTTACACTCCCACTCGCCAGCATGACATGGAATGATCTTGTCAACTGCTTTCGGATACCCCGATTGTTCTGTTCCTATCTGCTCCTCCACTTCTCCAATTCTGCAAATGCGAGAAAAAACGGATGGAGCCATCCCCCATCACCCCACTCACTCCGGACCCACCTCTGAACGAGTCCCCGGTGGAAAGCCCGCCCACCGAGGCTCGGTCTTCCGGGCGCTGACCCGCCTGCGCGGCGCCGCCTTGGCCTCCTTCGACGGCATCGCCCGGGGACCGTGCGGGTGTGACATCGGTGCGGCGAAGCAGTACTTGAGACTATAAGATATATTAGTATCTTATTGGGACTATAAGACATAAGATATCTATAATCTATAAGATACTATAATAATCTATAATTAAGGTGTATGAAATTAGTCACTTCATTGGTGATATTGGTGGTTTAATAAAGAGCTGAGTGAAAGAAAGCAGGGGGGCTGGCCACTGACTTGACTTCAAGATGCTTTTGCATGTGTTTGCAGTGGTGGCACTAGAATCTGCGGGTGGAGCTGATCCTTCCATTTCTGAGGCAAGAGCTCATCAACACAACATCCAAGAGTCCGAACCTCATACTTGTAGCATGAGAGAACGTGTGCGGACTTGTGCTGATGACCATCCCACGGTCCTGCAAGACAAATGTGGGATACTTTGGGTATGCTGCCACATACTGTAGTATGTTCATGTATCTTCTGTGGTAATCTTGATCCTGCCCAATCATGATCCAATCTTGGTGAACACGAGTTGCCTGAGAGTGTTTGCTCTTTGCCCTAGGTATGCTCTGGAAAACCAGTACCGAAAAGTACATCCAGTTCAACACCTTGCAGAGGAGGAGGTGAGAGCAACACTGGCGGCACCTGCAGCCAGTGTTGACCTACCAAGTTGACCCACGTGATTGGCGAATTCATTACTAATATATATACTAATATCAACCAAAATCATCTATCTAGCAACCATGCATTCACCTTTTTTCAGAAAGCCAGAGAAGCTCGCTAGCCATCAGCCCCAAATGGCAGACTGAAGTGGTCATAAATGGCTTCCGAATTCTGGCCGCTTCTTGCCTTCTTTGGGTCGCGGTGAGTTTCTAGTCGCTTCTGTATTTACTTAACTTTGAGTATACATATTTTACAAATTACCTTACTTGGTATCGATGCGCTTCGAATCTATCCGGTTACTTTAGGATTGTTGTGAACCCTTTCTGGACTGAACGGGAGGTGCCACATGATGGATCCGGATCTCTTCCAAAATCTTCCGATGCCGCTGCCGATCTGATCACTTCCCTTCGTCTCTCACAGGCCGATGTCTCCCGCTGGGCCTTCCCCTCCAACGCCGATTGAGCGAACCGCTGATGTTTGCGGCGCAGCAGTGTTCGATAAAGGGCGCCCGGCAACGTCTGAGTTTCGGGCAAAGAGCGTGGGAGAGCATGAGAGAGCTCCAAATACCACTTATTTTGGCAGTAAAAATACCATCTGTTGGAGTCCTTAAGGTTAGATTTGGTTGGCGGCGAAGAGCGGTCTTTGTAGTCTGGGACCTCCAGGTTTGGGAATTAGACTGACAGATCTCAGATCAAACTCGTTCCACAACTTAAAAACGAAAGCAGGACTTGGGTGGCTTCGGAAGACACTTTGAGCATCGGCAACTTGAACAGGGGCTCCAAGTTGTCAACTTCACACTGCGTTGATATCACCGGAGCACAACGCTGGCAAGACTTTCCAATGTCCCAAAGTCAAAGTCAGCTGCTACTCGTACTGCTACTGTAACCACAGGAACAGGTTTAAGTTTAAGTGGTCCTTGTCTATTGATACTGTACCAGGATTTGTTTTCTCTTTTGGGTGTTGAACAATTCTGCATTCAACTGACCTTCTCGTGCAGGCCAACGCGCGTTGTGCCAAGACCTCAAGGCCAAGCAGTACCCACCAGGCTGATCCAGGCTGGTTGCTTTTGATGTGTCATTGACAGTTGTTGTCAACATTTCACCAGGTGAAGCTGCATCACTACTGACCTTTCCGCGTGACGTCTTCACGAGCGGCCGGAGCTGTTGTCGGACAGAGCTGAGCCGGATGAGTGACCAAAAGGAGAGGCATCCCGATTTGGGGCGAAAAAGAGGCAGAACACCCTAGGCCCTAAAACAACTCTAAACACCCTTTGGACGAACATTGGTGGCCTGATTGAACTCTGATTTGGAAGTGGGCTCAGCAATTCATGGTGTCCGTTCAGATATATGTCAAATCGCGGCTCCTCCGGTCAGATTCGTGGCTTCATGGCTTCATGGATTGCAGTGCTCATTTGCCAGAAACATGTGTAGACAAACGGCGAAGTTGATCAACATGGAATGCTGGTTCCAACCAAATGCACCAGCAACCAAGATCCTTGTATTCTGGCACATGCCCAGACGAAGAGATTTGGCCTGGCATTGAGCCAAAACGGGAGTGAACTGAAAAACTCCACGGCAGACAGCGGCACACATGGCAGTTGAAAAGCTACAAAGCCTTCTTATTGGTGCTCATTGTTTTAGGTGCCCGTTTCTCACGGAGCAATGATTCGGGCCTGGCGCACCAACAATGGCACTTCTGGTGGAACTGAACAAGCACCAGCCCAAGCAGAGGAGGCGCCCGAGCGCCAGACTGGCTGCTCAGGTAGACTTAAAGGTAGACAATCATGATGTATTTAAAACTATACCAAGATAAGAAAGAACGATAATTCGATATAATTAGTAAGGGCCCCTTTAATGAGGCCCATTTAAATGTTCCATCTCTCATCCCGGGTTTCCAGCAGACACCTATCCAATTGCTATTGAAATGGGGAAGGACTTGGGAATAATGCAGGTCAATTTCCTTTTGCGGATCCTCCACAAAACCGCACCACATGGAGGTATTCGTTGCCCGCGGCTGTTCCTGGTCAGGTGACGACAATTTTCTTGGCCGGCTTTCCATATGACGCCACCCATCGGGAGCTGGAGAACCTTTGTCGCTTTTTGCCGGGCTTTGTGAGGTCCAAGGTGGGCTTTCCAAGAGTTTCCCACCACCCCGGATGCTGTCGGCTTGGGCTGGAATACAAGATTAAAGGAGATGACATGCATGTTGCAATTTACATTCTTACAAGAGGACTGAGGCGATAAAAACTGTGAAAAGATCGGTAGTTGCAGCCCATACACAAATCCTCGCTGACATACCAGCATTGTCACTAGGTGACGTCCGACAACATTGGAACACTTCACTCGCAGGCCTCCTTCAACAGGGGTGTCATGCTTTGGGCACTGTTTGACAGCCAAGCCAATGCCGAGGTGCGTGTGGTCGTTTGCACTGTGCTGGACCGGACCAGAAGAACCACCGGACCTGGTGACCTACTTCAGCCGAACACCCGTCGCTAGGCGGCCATCAGCGTTCTGAATGAGCAGGAACGAATGGGTCGTGCCAAGCAAAGGGTTTGTGTAGGGAATCGCACGATTCGCAGGGTATCCAGCAGATCTGCCAGAGTTGACGGTAGCATAGCGAGCTATTCTTTGGTGATATGTCAGGCTGTGTGGTGTTTGTGTTGCAGCTTGATGTGGCAGCTTGCAAGAGGCAAGAGCAGGTAATTGCTTGCCATGTCAGTGGAGGCCTTTGACTCCACCAAACCTGGTGAAGTGATGCGAGTGGCTGGTCTCCCCAGAGGACTTTCTACAGGGCACCTGCCAGTCGTTCGAGTCGTTCAATGCATCTTCGTTCTTTTCTTTCCCTGTCTCCCGTTTCCTCTCAAATGATTGAAATTTGTTGGGACTTGGCTGCTTGGTCTTGGCATCTGGCTAGTCCATCTCCCTGGTGTCGAGGTCATGGCCAAGAGCAACATGCGAGACATGGACTCCACCCCGACGGCCCATGGAGGGGCTCACGGAGGCGCCGGAGTCGATGCGAAGGTTCTTCCGGCGAACGGTCCGACCCACCGCCTGGAAGATCGCCCCAAGCCTGGGGTGGTTTGAAGGGTCAATAGAGACACCGATCTTGTTGGATCTTGTTTGGTCGATCGGATCTGATGGGCTGAGCCGAGCCCAACCCTTTTTACTTCGTAGTTTCACTAGACAGCTTTTCTGCTTGCATTCTGCGTGTTTGCTTGGCGCTGTCAGGCTCACCTCAGGGATCTTTGGCCGCCAGGTGGGACCATGTTCAATCAGCGAAGGATTGGCGATGTCGGGATCGACCACCGGAAGAACCCCATTTCGTTTCGCAGCGGGAGAAGCACATCATCCATGTCTGGCATACGGATAGGTCAGGCATCTCTTCAGTCTTGACGACGTCAGCATTTTGGAACTTAGACCCTGAAGGTTATTCTTGGACGGTTCGCCCGTTTTGTGCAGGTTCCACGCTCAGGCGGCTCAATTACAGGCGCTTCGCGGTCAGAGATGGGAGAGCTCCAGACAGTCAGTGGTAAAGGATGGTAAAGGCATGTCAAGGCAATACCTAGGTTCACATCAGATGAACACTCAAATGAATTCTTTCACACACTTGGAACGGAGCAACCCTATTAATTATAAAGTTTCAGGATGCCATCAATATATTCTAGATAAGGACTGTCTTGATGGTTTTGATGATCTTTGATGAGAACAAGTGTGCGCATTTGAAGCAGCACGGCACGGTGTGCGTTGTGCTGGATGCTGTTGTACCGCAGGAGCCGACCAGCCCTGGATCTAAAATCAGTTAGTATCAGTTGTTCCTTGTTTTGAGAAGGCATGAAAGAAGCTCTACGGGAAGACACTCGGCGGTAAGCAGCTTCAATGCAGGGGAACTGACCTGACTCCAGAATATGTACTGCGTTGACCTACGGGGACCTTCGCCCACAAAAACAGCCACGACTCAATAGAAACAGCAGTCCAACTCCGTTTCCAACATCTTCAGACCGAAATTGGCAGGCACCACGGGCTTGGTCTCACCCGCCACCAGCCTCACCCGTAGGCGCACGGGCGCACGGTATCGTACTTGTACGGTCGTTTTGGAACAAAGAAGGTCATGGACTTATCCGAAGTTCCAAAGAAATCACTCGGTTCCGCCCAAGGAGCCAGACCAAATCGTGTGACACAACTTGGGAAGTTTAAGTTTGTTTTGTTTTGAAGCCCGCCGGGGGGGGGGGTAGGCCGTAGCTACTTGGGTAGCTAGTGATCAGATGTGATCAGTAAAGTAGTAGCTTTTTTTCGCCCGCGCGCGCGCCCGGGGGGGCAGGCCGTGGAGGTCGCCAGGTAGCTAGCAGTTTTTAATATTACTACCTTGGACGCAGGATAGCTAGCGCTCTCTGACCGGTTGGCGCGGAGAGGAAATCAGGCAAAGCGTGCCCCGTGCCTGAAAGTCAAGACGTGGTAGATTCTAGTAGTAAAGTCCAGGCAACAAAGCATCAGCAAACACCTGTCAATAACGCATGCACGCACACACACACACACACACACTCGAGAAGTTGCGTACTGACACGATTGCGGGTTGCCACATGCCAACCTAAGCGAAAAACCGAAGGGTCCAGGCGAAATGAAACCTGAAGGTAGAGGAGGCCCATCACTCTTAGGTTGGCTGCCATCGCACTTAGGTTGAAGGCCATCGGAAGTAGGTTGACTGCGTACACAAACGATTTAGTTCAAGCTCACATCGCAATCAGATCAAACAGAAAGTGAGAGTTAGAGGCCATTGCATTTAGGTTGGAGGTCTTAGAGGCCATCGCTAGTAGGTTGACTGCATACAAGCTAAACATTAAACACAAAAGCAAGTGCAAAGTGGGTGGACTGCGTACAAACTGTATATTAAAAGCACAAGCAAGTGCAAGTAGGTTGACTGCATGCACACTCAACATTTTAACACACAAACAAAGCTGCAAACCTAAACAGCCTTGTACCTCCACGAGTGGTCGGTAGTTGCAACATTCACAAACCAATGCAGGTACGTGGGACTGGCCAGGTCCCACATCCCGCGATATCACCCAGCTTCGTTTTCGTTGGTCAAGGTTGGTGATATCGCGCCTTGGCCCCCTGCTTGTTAAAAAACATAAACAATCAACGGGTCCCCTGTGATTCCAAGGGTTTCACACACTGCTCGACCTCAGGGCAAATGCGGCCGGCGGCCACTATGATGCCTGCCAAGCGAGCACGTACAATGCCACAATCACAAGATAGCCCGGAGCTCGGAGAGAATGGATAGATTCCGAGTCTCCATGTTGTGGATTACATTGCATGTGTATAGCCAACACAAAAGGTCAATCAAAGCAGATTAACTCATATTAGCTCAGTGTTCACTGGGCAGTCAGTCACCGTTTTTCTGTTTTCCAATTTAGATGGTTCATATTTTTTTCAATCAATACTTTTGAGATGAAGGACCAGTCGCAA